GGTGGGCGCTGTGCTCGCCGCGCGGGGCGGTGGGTACCCCGCGCCTAGTTGGCCTGCCCCGGACCTCGCGCAGCTTTGTTCCCCACGGCCCGCGTCGTCCGCTCACGCGCTGCCGCTGCCCCGGGCCCCGGGCGCTTTGTCTCTCGGCGCTGCCCCCCGCGACTCTACCCCCGGCCCTTTGTTCAGCCGCCCTGGGCGCTCGTTGGGAGCCGCTCCGCGCCCTGCATCCCGGCTCCATCTCTTGCCCTGCGCTGTCTTTCCTCCGGTGCCCCTTTGTTGTGTCTCTCTTCTCGGTGGCTCCTGCCACAGCCCAGGCTCCAGATTCCTGTCTTTCTTCTTCCATTGTCTTTCTCCTGGTTAACCTCTCTCACCTTTCTGTTGGGTCCTTAGTCACCCCCCACCCCTCGAGGCTTTGTCTCCCCCATCCTCTGGCTTATTCTCTTAGCATCCCCTTCCCCTCGCGTCACCGCTGCCTGGATTTATCCATTGGCCACTGTGTCTTGTCTGCTGAGCTGTATCAGCCCCGGGGACTCCATCTGGTGCTTCCCAGTGCAGACAAGACTCCACGGTTTGTTTCTGTTTTTTTGACTGGAAGATAGATGCTTGGGGATACTTAGTTTTCTCCTCCGCACCCCTTACTCTCTGGATTACAAGTCGGTTTCTCCCCCCACCCCACCCCGCGTGTCCCTGTCTGTCGGGATTTTATTGTCTCCAGTTTTCTTTGCTGTCTCTTTGGGACCATGATTGTTTTGCTTGGAAACAGTAGCCCTGGAAAAAGATCTCGACCCTTGGTAGTTATTGCTCCCCTCACACCCCCATGGCGTCTACTGGTCTAGGCCAAGGGCAGCCGTGGTAGCTCTGCATCTAGGTTACCTAAGGATGGATGGGACGGTGTTTATGGTCCGGTAGTAAGAAGTAGTCGCTAGGTTTCTTGTTTTTTTTTTTCTTTCTGTTGATGTTGGAGAATAGTTTCAGATGTCCGCAATGGGTATTTATTTGGTGTGCGAGTACGAGGTGGGTGATTTTGACGTTGAAAACTTGTGAATGTTGAGGTGGAGAATTTTTATCACCTTTTTGGGCTCTAGATCTACAGTTTAGTTATTTTCTTGCTAACTGGTGTTTTGTAAGAAGGAGACACCCTGCTTGGGAATTTGATTTAAATGGTTTACTCTGGAAAAAAAAAGACCACCTAAATTAGTTTAGCATTTACGACTGTTAGAATTCACAATTTGAATTTGCAGTTTGTGTTTTTTACTTATATGAATGTATGACAAATCTGTCCCGTCACCAAAGAGCGTAGTTTTGTTTGGAAACTTCTTTTAGGATCTTTGTGGAGTATATTAGTTATATAGCCCTAGCTTCTAGTTTGGTTACCTTAAAGGTGCTTCCTTCTCTTACTAATGCTAGGGGAGCCTTAAGCTGCTCTCCGGTCTTATTGTTATGGTAATGCTAAAAGCTGGGGGTTAGGTCTGGGGGTGTGCTGTGGGGTATTGTATACTAATGGCCTGAATTATTCCTGTGCTAGGAATAAGTATTTTACCAGGATTGTTAATACTGAATACATTTTTCAGAAATTGCTAGCTGATCACTTTTAGACAATACATTCTTTTTTAAAATATTTATTATTTTTATTTTATGTGCATGAGTGTATTGCCTGCATGTATGTGAGTGCACCCGTGTCGTGCAAAGCCGCAGAGGTCAGAAGAGGGCTTCGGATTCCCCTGGAACTGGAGTTAAGGACTACGGTTCATAACCACCATGTGGGTGTTGGGAAGAGTATACACAAGATGTGTTCTAAGAAATGCTGGCACTTTAGAAAGTTTCTTTTTTTTTTTTTAAAGCGGTGATTTGAATTAGTAGGTTGAATTTTCAGTAATGGAAAACCATACTTTGCTTTCAATACATGAAGTGTTTTGTGAAAATTTGCATCCTGAGATCATGTATAGCTTTTACGAGATAATCCTCTGTCTGATATTTAGTACTAAACATTCCTTGAAGTTAAATCAGGAGCATACTGGTTCTGACTATAAGCAAAGTGTAAATGGTGTGTAATGATGGAATGCAGTTCTCTCTGACTTGTACATTTAAGACTGATTACACAGACATCATGAGTTACAGTTTGAGTTGTATTGTTTCTAATCACGTTTACATTTTATCTTAGCCAAAAGACTGAGAAGCGATCATGTAAGACTTTCGTATCACAAAATAAAAACAGTGCCTTTAAATTATAATCAAGCAGCAGCATGTTTGGGATTTATGGGATGAATTGTGACTGGGAAGCTTTCATTTTGAGTACTGTTGGTACCGCTTTAAATTTATTATTCCTGCATACTCGTAGGGAAAATATGAGGCTGGCTTGCAGTGTTTGGAATGGTTCTAGACATTCAATTTTTAAAAAGTTAAATTAATGTGAAAGTGATTTCTTGCCCTATATGCACAGATTTCTACTAATATCTATTAAATGATCAAGATTAAAAAAAAAGTGGGGGGAGGCCACTCTTACCTGATGAGATTTATTAGATAATCTTTGGTATTGTGGATGAGTAAGGAAAGTAAACTTTGTTTGAAAGTTAACAGATTTTAATTCTGAGGTTCAGTCTTTTTTTTTTTAGAAATATTTTGCATCTTGCTTCCTCCTAATACTAAATTCATGTTATTTCAACTAGGGGCAGTATTTTCTCATGGACTGACTAAAAGTTGTTATTTTTGGCATCTGGCTTTGTGATTATTTCCAAGTTATTCTACTTCCCCTGGGCCAGTTTCCTAACTCTGTAGTGAAATGGAAATGGAATAGCTTGCCACATCTGCATAGGATAGCTGTGCCTTAGGATTTGCAGAGCCTCTTGGATGGAAGGTGTGGTTGTGGTCAAAGAACTATGTGATATAAACTCATGTAAAGTAGGTCCTATTTTATAGGAAGTCAAGTCTGAGGTTGTGAACTAAGTTCTTGGCAAGTTACAGGGTTAATAGTCGAATGAGAAAAGTTCCAATATCACAGTTTTTGTGATAATACAGGTATGTTCTTTTTCCTACAAATTTAGAGGGAGAGTGTCAAGCAAAACAATTAAGATAGTATTTGTGTGTATTGTGTAAGAGATTGGAGATCTGTCAAACTGAAGTATAATAACATTGTAAAATTATCGATGCCTTTTATTGATTTCTGCATGTAGGAATTTTTTAAAACGTTTTATTTTTGCCAGGTGTGGTGGTGCACGCCTTTAATCCCAGCACTCGGGAGGCAAAGGCAGTTGGATCTCTGTGAGTTAAAGGCCACTGGTCTACATAGTGAGTTCCAGGACAGCTGAGGCTACAGGGAGACCCTGTCTCAAAAAGACCAAAAAAAAAAAAAAAAGTTTTATTTTCATTTTAATTTTATATGTGTGAGTATTGCCTGCACGTGTGTAAGTGCACACATGTGCAATGCCCTCGGAGGTCAGAAGAGGGCGTCGGATTTCTCTGGAACTGGAGTTACGGGTGGTTGTTAGCCTCCATGTGGGTGCTGGGAATGGACGACCCCCCTGTCCTCTGCGAGAGCAGCCAGTGCTCTTAAGCACTGAGGCATCTCTCCATCTCCAGTGATTTTTTAAAAAAAAAATGATATCACAAAATATTTTCACTGAACTCAGCCAAGTCTGTTAATAGTAATGACAGTATATATATATACAAGAATATTTTCTAACCACCAGGACCATAGTTTTGGCCTCGGTTCTTGGTCTTAAGAAAATGTTTTGTACTTGGACATTCTGTAGATATTTATTGATGAAGCCTGTTTCTTCTTTATTCCTCGTAGCTGATATTGTTGTCTGGTTCCCCAAGCAAGGTTTCTGGCTTCTCACTTTTTACTTCTGAATTGTTGAGACAGGCTTGCACCTTGGAGCCCAGGCTGGCCTGGTACTTGAAATCCTCCTGCCTAAGCCTCTCCAGTGCTGGGATTTCATGTGTGCACAGGACTGTACTGAGCCTTTACTTCCAGTCAGAGAACTGAGAACTGATAGTTTTCCCTCCTACAAAACCTCCTTAATGCCACAGATTCATGCTGTCATCACTTCTCACCTGCATTACCACAGGCCTGTTAACAGCCATTGCTTCTAGATTGACCCCTAGATTCTCCAGCTTCCCCATGGCTGCAGGGCAGTGTTTCTGAACTCTAGTTTAAAAAGCTTTCAATGGCTCCCCCTACAGCCCAAGAGAGGCAGAATAGCAGAGGACTTTGAGCTCAGGTTTAAGATTTTCTCTGTGCTGGGTTCCAGTTCCGTTTCTGCCAAAACTTAAATCTCTTGTTATTTATCAGGTTGGTCTGTCTATGCCTGGAAGCATCAATGGCAAGATAATTATTCCTAATTTAAAGGGTTGTTATGAGGATTAAATAAAAGCATTTAATAGAATTCGAGGCACACACTAAGGACTTAAAATCCTTTACTAGTATTTCATATATACCTCCATAAGTATTAATAAATACCTTCTCCAACTAAATTATTCTCCCTTTATATTCATGCCCATATTTGAGAACTTGGAGTTCCTACATAGGCTCAGCAGT